GTTAGCATTTGCTATCTACAGTAAACATCTGTGCTTAGATATGCAGCTAGATGAACTGTTTGAGTATAATGAAATACTGAGGCTCTTTGCCTTCAAAATGCCCTATGTAAAGTGTGCTGTAGCAATTGTGAGAGAAAACATCCATCTTAAAATTCCTGCAAAACTTCAAAATTAGGCTTATGTTGTGCTGTTGTTTTTTTCTTTTTTTCCAAAAGTAATTTCCCTTCCCCCCCCAGTTCTAGAAAATTCTTTAAGGCCTTAAGTGTGGAGGAGGGAGATAACACAACTAGATTTTGGGATTAGACGGTTAAAAAGACCACTCTTTTTTTCTTTTTTTTTTTTTTCCCCTTTTTGTACCCGTGGCATCCAGCCACTTGTAATACCAGTGTGAACTCATGGGTGGTTTTAATCCATCCTATTCCCATTACTTGTCAGGAAGGAAGTTAATACAGAAATTGCTGCCATTAGGCTTCAGCATTTGCATTTTCGTTTGGAAATGGAAGTCAGAGACCATTATGTTCAACTAGACTTTCTGTATAATTTGGGTTTCAGGGTTTGAGCTGGTTTTTGTGGTTGGTTGTTTTTTTTTCCTATTAAACAGGCATGTGAGCTGTAACACAGTTTATAGATGTATTTTTCAGTTGATGGAGAAACTGCCCACTCCAGCTGAGTTGTTCCAGTAGACAATTACCTTCTGTGAAATTGAAGAACTCCTTTTCCTTTGCTCTATGTTGTTACTTAGGCCCTAGTTCAATAAATCGCTTGTACTCAAATTTATTGTTATAAGACACAATTGTCAGGCCTTTGCATCAAATCTTTGGTATTTGGGGTATTCTTCTTGGCATGGGGATGCTGGGTTTGGTATCAGTATTTTAGTGATAGTGTTTGGAATGCCACAGGTAAAAATGATGCTGCTCTTCCATGCCCTGCTTCCAGGCCTTGCAGAAAACATTAGCTGTAGTATGCTTCTTCTGCCTTTCATCTCCTTGTTTGTCCTTCTTGCCATCTGGAATATCAGGAAGTATGTTAGAGTGATCAGCTGTTTCCTACCTGGTCGATGCAGGGTAGGTGAACAGTGTGAAGATGGCCTGTGGTAAGTGCAGTCGAAAAGCAGTTGAGTTACTGGCAGCATCAGGCAGTGGATGGTCAGCAGGTTAGCTGCATACACTGTGCTGGGAAAAAGCAACAGCTTGGAAGGTGAGATGAAGCCGAGTATCAAAGGTTAATACAGTCTGGCACTGGAACTGGAAGCCTGAAGGGTGTTTCTGAGTTAATATGGCTTTGAAGTAGTTTAATTGTATTCCTATTCTTTCCTACAGTAAGCAATGAGAAAATCTGTTTAAGCCACAGTAAGCTGGGGAGGGTAATCGTGACAAAACACCAGTTGAAAAGCATCTGAAGAAATACCAGAACTTATTCTGTTTACTTTATTAATTGTAGATGGCTGCCTTAGTAAGGGGAAAAGGCAGCGTGCTGAAGAGATGGGGTAAGCATGTGAAATAGAGATAGGCATCACGCAATTTTATCTTCTTTTTAAACCTATTTATGATTTTTATGAACTGTTGCAAAACAACACTGGAGACTCTCAGTGTGTGTCCTTCTGTCTGTGCATCCCATTCCAGTGCTGTTCCTCTGCACTGAGAGCAAGCACACAGCAGTTGGATTTGTGCTGCTGGTATAGAACTCCAAGTTGTGAAGGTGGATGATGTACGGTGCAGTGAAGCAGGTAGACATTTGAGGTAAGCCATGGAGGATAAGCAATCTGGATTTATAATCAAAAGTCCCATGAGGAAGCCCCGTTCATTTTACAAAAAAACCCAGCTCCAAAGTAGGAGATTAAAGAGAAAGAAATACGTGTTACTTTGCAGCTTAGGACTTGAAGTAGTGCTTCCAAGCTGCTCAAGGAGGTGAAATCCTGGTGTTATGGAAGAATTTGTGTAAACAAAGACTCTCCTGTGCAACTGTTGAAAAATAACTGGACGTTGAGTGTAAACAGATGATGCTTGTAAATGTGATGCACAAACAGGCTCAAGAGGAATGGGGAGAATGCAGTTTGTAAACCACCTCCTCAAGGAATTAGTTGATGACAGTATACAGGATATGGCTTTGACTGGGTGCTGTAAAATTACCCAAAAGTTAAATGTCTGCCTATAATTATGAATAAAGAAAGAGAAAAAGATTTTTCTGATTAGAAAAATAGCCCATGTACTCTGATTTTTCTGACTTGGCCAGTGATAAAGCAAGAGCTTTTGTGAAACTGGTGAGAGCAAAAATTTGCATTTATGCAGAAGAAAGTATTGCAACATGTTAGTGACTGACTGTGGTGTAGCTGTTGTGGGGCTGATCAGTGTGATTGAAGCCTCTGGATGCATCCAGGGACCTGACAGACACATCCTTTCATTATTTTTGGGACAGTTTTTGTTAGCTTTGTAATATAATTGCAGATGCTTCTGGGCAGATGTTTTTTGACAAACTTTCTCAGTTCATGAAGAACTTGCAATATATGGATGGATTTCTGGAAAGCTCTGAAAGCCTGCTGTCACCTGCAGGGTGAGAGTAGCACTGCTTTAAGTGCACTTCTTTCTGAGCTTCCTTTGCAGGCAGGACACGATATAAATCTAGAGGTCCAGCAGGTCCCACCCCTATGTTAAGGAACCAGTTGAGCTGGACAGTGCTCTTAGTTTAATGTACCTATCTGTAATGTATTTCTTCCTTGGCTGAAAAGAAATTAGTTTGAGATGTTAGGAAACCAAATTTAAAAGCTTTTTTAGCTTTTTTTTTTTCCCCTAGCATTTAGAAAATTTTATTTCTTGTATGAAACAGAGTAGTATGACTACTCTGATTGCACAATGACCGTAGCTTTTGGATAGCAGGGCCTCATTCTGTTACATGCTGTCTCCATGAGGAAGGGGGTGGCTTGAGACCTGTCCTTGACCTCTTACTTCTCCTAGGAGGGTGAGAAATCAGTCTGTCTTAGCTTTTTCTGCAGACCTTAAAGACTTTCCAAAACCCTGGTGGAGCTGCCCCAAGTTACAGCTGGTAAAAATTGCACTTTCCTGAACAAGCAAGTAAGTTGTGGCTGGTTGACTGTGTTGTAACGCTACAGGGTTAATGTAATGTCAGGATCCAGGAGCAGGGAAAGGCAGGAAGTGAATGTTTATATTGTGGTCTTTGTGTATCTGCTCCTTTAGAAATGAATCACTTTCTTTTTTTATCAGTGCCCAAGGTACTGCTGTAGATGTGGAAAGGTCTCTGGGGCCAGAGCAGTGAGTTACTGATTTGCAGTTGGCGATCTCTTGGGTTTGCACCAGCTTACAGAGTGTTTTTTTTTTTTAATTTATTTTTTAATCTTTATTCCTAGTGACATCAATATTCTAGCAGTAACAGGGACCAGTTCTGGGCTTCTTTCCAGGCTGATGTCTTTGATCAGCTAATTGCCTTGATAGAACAGAAGCGTTCCCAGGAGAACAGATGGTACTCAGGATTCTCCCAGATAGTCACATTTTTATGTATAGTTCATGCTAGCAAAAATTTGGGCTAAGCTCTTTGAAGGACATCATGGGAACCTTGTGTTTTGAAAGACCTGACTAAAATGAGATGATGTGTAAGAACCAAATAATTATTCAAAATTCTTGGCAAACTGGAAGGTACCTGGGGAAAGAAGAGACAATGACTAAAGGGGTCCTATTCTTTTTAGGTTGAACAGCTTCTTCAGAAGAAAATGTAGAAATGTGGGACAGATGTGCAAGTCTTTCCTCCCCACCATATTGCTTCTCTCTTTCTTCAGGCAATAGATTGGTAGCAAGTCCATTTTACATCCATCCTTGCTGTATGAGGAATTGTTTGTGTAATTGTCTGTATATTCCCTCCGTTTCTCTAGGCCATCTTTAATTTTGTCTATTATTTTAGCTTTCTTACTAAAGAATAATGCAGCTTGCACAGTTTCTGTGTTCATAACAAGTTCTACTTTTCCATGGGCTGCTTTTTTCCCCCTGGAAGAGACCAGTGTTAGGTGATCTCTGTTTTGACAAAAGACATACATCTGTAACAAGTAACATCTGTAACAACTCCTTTATGGCTAAGTTGGGAAGTCAGGGATGTTCTGTAGGCCCTTGCCTTCTTTGCCAGCTTGATTTGGCAGTCTTCTTATAGCACTCTAATTTGACTGAGCCAATAGGCAAAAGCAGGGCTTGGTTCTTCTGCTTGTTAGGAGCATGTGACTCAAGTAAGAGCAGGCTGTGTGAAGTAGGCTGGTCTCAATTCTCCTTTGAAGTGCAGAGAATTCCATGGGATGCAATCAGTCTTCTGTCTGAAAGTAGACCTTCCAGTGTGAAGTTCAGGATGCATCAGCAAGAGTGGTGAAACTTGAATTGTTGTTGTTGTATTGAGAAATTGCAGTGACAAATAGAAAACCTCAGTCTAAGGCTAAAAGCTCTTTAAGGACTAAGCATAATTTGAAATGAAAAAATTTTAACCTTCTTCTAAAGATCTTCAAGTATAGTCTAAAGTAACAGAGCATGCTGTTAAAAGCTTTTGTATGCTTTAAGACCTCCATAGCAGTAGCTCCTGAAGATCAGTATTTTGGGAGGAAATAATTGGAATGCTCAACAATGGGTGATTTTTAGAAAAGCAAATTTTATGCATTTTTTTTCCCTTAACCCTACAGAAACATATGGACTTGTGCTGCGTCTTTGCCATGTTGTCCATTATAATAAATGAGTCACAAAATGAATGACCACAGTTTTCTGCATACTCCAGATTGGTTTTCCTTCCCTTCTTTGATGTTAAGATAGTGGTTGTATTGCAATATAATCTTGGTTTCAAAATTATGGTTGTAACTAAGGGAAAAATATTGGAAGCCCTGAATTTACACTAGATCTCATTGGAACTAATAGTCTGAAAACCTTGAGATTTTTGGCAGTTTGAACTCTGAGCTATTATCTCCATCTGTTACTTAATTTGGAAATTCAGTCTCATAGTATGTACAGTACTTGACAGGCATGGCAATGGGGGGACAGAAGGGACTGGAAGAATTCAGTGGAGGTGATGTCATGGTGTATGATCAGTAAGTCCTTTGGAGAGTTTTAAGACCAAAGGATAAGCTGGATGACTCCAGCAATCCTGCAGACTTCAGACTGTTATGTTTCATCTGGTTACTTTGCAAGTGGACTGCTGTGTGTGTCTGTGGCCAGCACTTTCTGCTGCTGTTGGCTGTAGTGGTGCTTTAAACTGAAATCAGGATAGAGCAGTTGCCCTCAACAGAAACATTGTTCTTCCTGTGGACTGCTTGTGTTTTTTTCATCATGTTTTGAAAAGTCTTAAGAAAAGGAATGGTGTTCTACAGAGTAACATTAAAAGTTTTGTTTCATTTTTTAAAAGTGTGTGTTTAAGTATATTTTTAAAGTATCTTTTACTTTCCTCTCCCCATTCTGCTACATGCCAATAACGGACAGCATTATTCAGCACTGGTCAGGCCATACCTGGAGTCCTGCGTCCAGTTCTTTGCTCCCAAGGTACAAGAGAGGCATGGACATGCTGGTGAGACTCCAGTAAAGGGCCACAAGCATGGTGAAGGGACTGGAGCATCTCGTTTATGAGGAAAGGCTGTGAGAGCCTGGAGAAGAGAAGGCTCATGGGGAGCTAGCTCATCTATGTACATAAAATATCTGAAGGGCGGGTGCAAAGTGGATGGAGCCAGACTTTTCTTAGTGAAGGCCAGTCATGGGACCAGAGGCAATAGGCATAACCTTAAATGTGGGAGGTTCCCTCTGAACATCAGGAAACACTTTTTAATGTGAGGATGACAGCGTACTGGTACAGGTTACCCAGGGGGATTGTGAAGTCTCCTTCCCTGGAGTTCTTCAAAAGCTGACTGGACATGGCCTTGGGCAACCAGCTCTTGGTTGTTATGCTTGAGCAGGAGTTTGAACCAGATGACCTTCAGAGGTCCAACCAACCTCAGCCATTCTGTGATCCTGTAATAAATATCCTACTTATGTTCCTTGTTAAATATTGGAGTGATTTCTGTTTTCACCAACTTGGCAGCAGTAACTAGTGGAATCTCATAACCGTTTGCATAGACATGAGAAGGCTTTATCCTTGTATTTTCCTGAAAGGACTGCCTCATCCTGATTATCATGCTGGAGGAGTAACTTCTCTATCCTTCTCTCAGAAAGGAGACGTGTGACTTGTTTATGGAATACGCTATAGGCTAATACCGGTGTTGCAAGAGGAGGAACACTTGGTATCAGCCACGTGAGTCCGCTCAAGTCTGCAGGTCTTTCCCATAACTGTGCTGGAGCAAACAGACCCTCTCTTGTCCAGCAGGCAGAAACTGTTTCCATGGCCTTGTGATTATTTGCCTCATGTCTGCTTTTACCTGTGGTTGGCAGCAAGCAATGAGGCTGAAGAAGAGATGTTTCAGTGGAGCAGCAGCTCTGCTGATAGCTGGAGCAGTTCATCTTTGAGACGTTTTGTGAGGAGCTGTAGGGAAGTTGTGGTAAGAGATTTGGGCCCTGATGCAATTTGACCATACAGTCCAAGAAACAGACTTGTCAGACAAGTACTTTCTGTTTCTAATTGTACCTTTAACTTACTCCAAGAGTTTAAAAAGGGTTGTTAGGCATCAAAGATACTACTCTAAGGATAGAGACTTAATCTTTGAATGAGTCACGCAAACACTGTGCTAACACGCTAAGTACTGAAGCAAAACACCATTAATCCCATTTGCAATGTGCACTTGTGCCATGGAGCCTGTGAACGATGTTTTCTCTTAGAGAGTTTCTTCAAAGATGGAACTTGAGGGCCCCCCCCTCCACCCTCTCAATAAAGCTGATCAACAAACTTCTTATAAGCCAGCGTATGCAAAATTTCATTGGCACATGCCCGAGCAAGACACGCAGTTACTTGATGAGTATTCATAACTACTGTTATGGTTGTGAATAAACACTCTTGTTGTAAACCATTCCCACTTTGGAATTCTCACATGTAGACCTTCCAGAAAATAACACTTCACCTGGCACACCAGGTGCTCTTTTAAGAGCTGTGTTGGTGAAGTCAGGGAACAATTAGGCCCCAGAAACCAAACCACAGTTAAGAACTTTCACTGGCAATGGACATGAGACAAACGCCTTGCCCTGAGTGCAAGAGTACTTTTTCCAGAGCAGGTCCATCACCGACCTCTTGGTTATGATCATGTTGATGAGCTGAGGAAATACTTGTAGGAAACAAGCCTGTGAGCCAAAATCCAGATCTTCTGGAGACCAAATATCATGGGTTCAGTACAGAGACAAAGTGGCCAACTGCAAGTTCTCCAGTTCCCCCGTTCCCACTAAGCCATGCCTGTTCCAGGGGTGTCATTCTCTTGTCCTCCATCACATGAACAACTTGGCCGCTTTCGTGCTTTCTACTATGCGTCTGTGGAGCACAACTGAGGTTGTTTGGATCTCCTCGACCTGTGTTTCAATTTTGAAGAAGGATCTATGTGTATAAAAGCTAGTCTTACTGTTCCCTGTCAGTGTGAGTTGATCTAACAAAATACTGTGTTTTCCAACAAACCTACAGTAGCCCTGTTACAATTTGCTCTTAAAATTAAAGTGCTCTCATAAAATACCAAGCTTTGAAAAATCTGTCTGCTAAAGAAACTGACCTCTTTTGTCCTTTTTTGAACACTGTCACGGTATGCTTTTTGTTTGTTTCCAAACCTGGATAAGATCAGTTCTGGTAATAATTCATTGTTTACCCATTTTTACATTTGAGTGGTTGCCTTTAAATTACTGACCTTTAATATTTGTCAAGATGGCAGTTGAGCAGCAGTTATTTTTTTCCTCATGTAAATGAATATTCATACTAGTTACAAAAAGTGTATTAATATGCATTACAATTTTATTTACTACTCTGTCAAAATTTTAGTAGTTGGATTGAGTTATGTTTTTTCTTGAAAGAATGCTAGTGTTGCTTAAATATAAGGAAGCACTGTAAGAAAACAGTTGCCTTAAGGCCAAGAAGAGTTGTGTTGTCTGGATGCCTGGGGGTAAGATGCTATGGGGCATAAACAACTTTAGGAAATGGGAAGTACTTTCCTATTTGTAAATTGGGGGTTACTCAATTCATAGGTAAAAGTGCAGTAAAATGTGTGGATGTTTAGTGATGCAGGAGAAGGAGAGGGAAGAAAGGGGTAAAATAAGAAAATGAATATGCGAAGAAATTACTCTGTTGGTTTGCTGATCAGTTTATTAATAATTTCTATTTAAATAGGTGGTTGAATCCCTTATTTATTCTTGGCCATAAACGGAAGCTTGAAGAAGATGATATGTATAAAGTGCTGCCAGAAGATTCTTCAGAAAAGCTTGGAGAGGAATTACAGTGGTAAGGAGAAAAACAGTTGTTGTCTTTTATTCTGTTTCTGCTGGTGAAGGTGAGAGTCTTATTCCTATTCTAAAATTAAAAGAGGTTGTTACAGAGTTTAACAAAGTCTACTGTTAAAACTGCTGAAGAACTAAGAGTAACATAGAATCATAGAATCCTTTAGGTTGGAAGAGACCTTTAAGATCATCAAGTCCAACCATTGAGCCATTAGGGCTCTAAAGTCCTCTGCTAAAACAGATCAGCATCTGTCAGGGTTGGAAGGGACCACAAGGGTCACCCAGTTCCAACCCCTCTGCCATGAGCAGGGACACCTCCTGCTAGATCAGGCTGCCCAGAGCCTCCTCCAGCCTGGCCTTAAAGACCCCCAGGGATGGGGCCTCAACCACCTCCCTGGGCAACCCCTCCCAGGGTCTCACCACTCTCATGGGGAAGAACTTCTTCCTCACATCCAGCCTGAATCTGCCCACTTCCAGCTTTGCCCCCTTCCCCCTAGTCCTGTTGTTACTCGACATCCTAAAAAGTCCCTCCCCAGCTTTCCTGTAGGCCCCCCTAAGATACTGGAAGGCCACAATAAGGTCACCTCGGAGCCTTCTCTTCTCCAGACTGAACAGACCTACTCTCCCAGTCTGTCCTCGTAGGAGAGCTGCTCCAGCCCTCGGATCATTCTCGTGGCAAACACTGAGAATTTGTTTACCATGGAAGTGTTTTAATTTTTCAAGTTACACGTAATGAAAATGCATTAGAGTATTTCCGTTATGTCATTAATTTGACACTTTGCAAAATGCTTGGAAAAGACTTTTCATCAACTGCTACTGCAGTAGTCCTTAGAAAAGTAATGTGAATCTTCTGACCTGTGGTAGAGCATCTATGGAAACTTGTTAAATTTCTCTGTATAAAAGTTGGGAAAAAGTTTTAGGTGTCTGTTGTTTTTGGTTTTTACCACAAACTGAATTAAGTAACAGCCATGTACCCTTTATATGTGTGTCTGTATATGTGTATATAAATATATCTATGTTGAAAATATGTCACTCTGGTAAAGGGATCAAATGCCTTGGATGTCTAAAAGCTTGCACCTAGGAAGTGTTTTTATTGTGGTATAAATACTCTTTCATGGACTGTGTACCAGTTTGTGTTGTTATGGACACAGGAGGATCTTTTAATAGTGAAATGTCTTCCAAGAGTAACAGTTCATGTAAATTGTCTTGAACCTTGGCAGTTAGAGAAAGTTTCTGTCTTCAAATAATATTTTGTTAAATACAATTAGAGGAAGGGGTGTCTCCTAGTGAAAGGTGGCCTCTGTATTAAGAACACAGAGTGTGGCCTTGCTATTTCTTGCCTTTATGCTGACGGTAGAGCACATCAACTTTCCTAATAGTTTGATTGGGGTGAGAGACTCTTCAAGACATAAAAAGAATCCAGTAAATGACAGCTTATGATCAGGTCTTAAATCATCCTGCTCCAGATGAGTTAACTGAGAGTCTGTAATAAGCTCATAGGAGAGCAGCTATTAACATCTTGGTAGCTGGAAAGCTTTGCCAAATTCCATGGCTGTGTCTTGAAGCAGTTCAGGGAGTTTACTGTGGAGGAAGATGGACTCTTTCCAATGATTATTACAGTAAAAGCACACACTTTCTATGAGTCAGGAAATGGTAGAAAATGCGGCATAAAAAAAAAGTGGGTTTTAATTCTTTAGTGTAGTTAGCCAAGAAGCAGAGAATATAATTCATAAATAGCAACCTAAGGAAGTAAACTTTTCTCTTGGGCCAGCAAAGCCCACAGAATCTACACAGTTTCAGTTTTTATTCTGAGGCATTTAGACAATAATGCTATAATCCTTGTAACAAAAAAAAAAAAGGGTAAAAATAAAACCATGTTGTCTCATCCATACTGTGCACTTCAAACCTGTGTGCTTTGTTGCAAAATAGTTTGGCTTTGCGCCTTTAGACTCATTTCAGCCCTCAATGTATCAAGGTAAGAGGATTTGACAGAAAATATTTAACCTTCAGAAACAAGGGTGAGTATCCTGTCTGACAACAGTGTGCTTTAAGAAGTCTGCTTAAGTCCTTATACTTGATTGTTCTGATCACGCTTGTTATTAGTCTTCGATTTTAATGTAGACGGGTTGTGTCTGGCTTGTGGGTAGAGGTGGTAATGCAAAGGTCTCTGCCATTGCTGCTGTATCCTTGCCTTCAGAGACACGTGTGGAGTGACAGGTCTGCTGCAGACACCTCCCTCTGCTCTCATGCTGTACGTGCTTGTCCCCAGTGAAGCCTGTGGGGGCAAAAAAGGCCAGGCATGAGAAAAGGCTCTGCATCTGCCTGGAGAAGTGCAGGGTGTATAGGAAGATAAAAATACCCCATGCTGCCTTGGTTTAGTCCATAGGCAGGAGACCATATGATCATAGGCTCTTAACTAAGGTGAATGCCTGTCTGAACAGAGAGGACAAGCAAGAAGGAAAGGCTTCCTTATTGGCAAATATGACCAAGGTGATAGTAGTCAACAGTGGTGAATTGTTTGTCATGATACAAGAGCAAATAAGCCGAGAGTGCTAAGTACTCCATGTTTATGGGAATGAGAAGACATGACTGTCTTGTTAACATCTATTTTTTAGTCTTGTATAAAAGCGATCATGGCAATCTGGCTGTAAGTCTGGAATTATTTTAATCAAAGTAATTGCCCTGTGATTTTACTTCTATACTCCAGCATGTTTGTGTTTTGTTCATCAGGTACTGGGATAAAGAAGTGCAAAAAGCAAAAAAGAGAGGAAAGACACCACATTTAACAAAAGCCATTATTCTTTGTTACTGGAAATCCTATTTAGTTTTTGGAATTTTCACAATGATTGAGGTAAGTGGTGTAAAATGTCACCCAACACACTTCTTGGCCAACAGCAATGTGGAACTTGGCCTCTTAGATGTTATGATACATGCTGGTGACTTCATGCTCGGCTGTTCAGAAAACTTGTGATGTTCATGTACTCTCTCAGAAAAGTAAAACAGCTACAGCTCTGTAGAGACTGAAATATTGAGTTGTAACTGTGGGGTTATGGGTGTGGAACAGAGGGCTGATTTCAGGGCATTATTTTTGAGACATTACAAGCCACTGACTTGCTTTGTCACACTGAACTGTATTTTGTGTATCTGTGGGTTACAGAAAAAGGGGTTTTTACTCTGTAAATGGCTGTAAAGGACACACTGTCATCTTTAAAATTGGAAGTGTAATACATACTTGTGCAATTTTTATGATGTCAAAGTTTTTAGTAGTAATTGAGGGAGTTCTTTTTAAGGATACAGCTAAGTTTTGATGTGGAACAGATTTTTTTGGATAATGTGTTGATAAAAGTTGGCTTGATATTTTAGAGCATAATAAAGACAAAACATACAGGATGTGAGTTGCATGGGTACTTGGCTCATGTTTCCCGAGTTACAAACTTGGGTAGCGTGGTATGATATGCAATTGTTAACACTCGTTCCCTTTCTTTTTCTTTCAGGAAACCCTCAAAATAGTTCAGCCAATATTTCTGGGAAAAATTATTAATTATTTTGAAAACTATGATCCCTCAGATGAGGTCACTTTGAATTTTGCCTATTGCTACGCAGCTGCTCTGTCTGTGTGCACGCTTATTCTGGCTATAATGCACCACTTATACTTCTACCATGTGCAGCGGGCTGGCATGAAGCTGAGGGTGGCCATGTGTCATATGATTTACCGCAAGGTAAGCAAACCTTTCACAGAGTGTTTGTGTTTGGCATTTGGATGTATTTGGCATCCGACAGCTTCTTCATTAGGGGACTTTAAAAATACAGTTGTTTATGTTCATGCTTGCAGTTCCGTTGGATTTACTCCTTTGTAGAGATGTAATGTGTGCTAATACATATAGGAACTTAAATATATATATATATAGGTGCTTTTTGTCTCTCTTGGGTAATACAGTGTCTGAATGTCAGCTTCAGTCCTCCTACTCAAGGTGGTGAATTAAAGACGCCTAAAATGTAGCAGGAGCTGCTGCTTTTTGCCTTTTCGTGCTGTGGGGGAGGAGCCCCCCAGTGCTGGTGGAGGGGTGGTGGTGTGAGCATCAGGAGGGCCTCGGTGTGCAGCAGGGGAGAGGCAGGGCTCCGGGGGTGCTGTGCTGGCAGGTCCCAGCCCTGCAGCTTCGCCCCGCGGGGACGTCGCGCTCGCCTGTCACCATCTGCCTCGGCGCTCAGTCGCCTGGGAATTGCTGCACTGCCCAGTTTCCCCACGAGCCTCCTGCCTGTGGTTAATGGTGGAATTTATTTATATTTTATTCCAGCAGTGCTGTAGAACCAGTGAGTTACTAGTGACCTCCATTGTGGGTCAGAGGGGCTGCCTGCCTCTCTGGGGGCATCCATCAGGGCAGCTGGGGGAGAGGTGGCAGAGCTGCTGCTGCTGCCCACACCAGGCTGGCAGCCACGCTGGGCATTGCCACCTGTAGTGTCTCTCCTGCTTGCGGGGGGAGAGAGAGAGGAGTGGGCAGTGGAGACATGGTTCAGAACTCAGCTGAACCTTAAAGGTAGGGTAGAGCTGGTTTGTAGTGTCAATTACTGGTTTTGCTGTGGGAGCAGTGGAGTCCTCCATTAAAGCCAGTGCAGTGTGCGAAGGGATGTATGTTCAGTGAGCTGTGGTTTCTTTGCTTCCTTTGTGTCCTAATGAAGTAGCTGTCCTCAACTACAGATGGAGCTGAGGCCACTCTCAGGTGGAAAGTGGCACAAGAGAAGTTACGGTTATTACCTACAGGAAGGAGCTTGGTGACATTGTGCATGAAATGGTGGCCTTGATGTGCTCTGGGGAGCAAGCAGCCCAACTGTAAATGTCTGTTTCCCTCTTCTGAAGCTGTTAGCGATACAGAAACCATTGAGCCCAGCTCTGCTTGCAAGCAGGAAGACCCTGCTGGGGGTGCTGGGAAGGAAAATGCCCTGTCTTTCTAGCTTCAGTGCTGCTAGAGTAGCGACCTGCCAATTGTTACCTCAGCAAAGAATTTTAATTGAAGGATCAGGACTGTAAAGTTTCTTTAGAATGTAAAGAAATCCATGTTATTTTAAGCATTAAACGTAGGTACTATCTGCTTAAGGCAAACGCTGGTACCACTGGTATAGGTCATGTGAAGGCTTTGGGCAAAGCAGTAAAGTGAGTAAAACTGTCCATATTGTAAGTGGTGATTGCTTTTCATGCACTTATTCTCCTTCCATCTTCTGATACCTTGGAAATTACCCTTTGGGAACTCTGCTCTAACATGGCACACTGCTTTCTTGTAACTGAACATCTCTCTAAGGTATTAATTTACTAAACTGATTATCATAACACAGTTGGAAATTCATGAAATATGTACATAGTGATGTTGCTTGTTGCCATGTTGATATTAGCTCTAGAAGCCTGGTAAAGAAATCTTCATAATCTGCACCCTTATTTCTAGAGATGTGATTAAATGGACAGTTAATCTCTCCTCATCTCATAAATGTTTGCTCCTGAGGTGAAGGCTGAGGTCACAGGAGAACACTGATAAACCTTTGTAATCATTTATCATTATCTGAGGCTTATAGATGGATCATACTTTATCCTTATACAGGCTTTTGAAGGAATCTGGATGCTAATTTACCACCACTTCTGCGCTGCTTGTTAATGGCTATAGTAAACAAAAACTTGGATTTCCAAGCATGAGTGGATTGGATGAGAGAGCATCCTTAATGGAGAACTTCAAATGCTTGTAGTTCTTACGTTTTAGACCCTTTTCCATTTCCTGGAAAGTGAAAATCTCATTTGCAAAAGCCCTGCATTCAAACACCAAGATCTTTTGTGATCAGTAAGAAGTATTAGTGATGCACGCAAGAAGCTTGTAACAAAATGAACATAGAATCTGTCTCATGACTCGCAGTCTCATGCTTTAAAACCAGGGGCTACTTATGGGAGGCTGATTATTTATGTTTTTTTAGAAGACTTAATTTGTAGAAGTTCTTTGAGGTTCAGAAGAAACTCTAAAGCAGTTCAAGCTGGGAGTAGTTGGCTGAGGTAAAAAGCAGCCAAAAAAGCATCAGGAATTATTTGATTGAACAGTTGTTATTCCTTTACAGTCAGTTACCTGTTTTTAATGTTCTTTTGAATTAACTATTCAAAAAAAATATAAATAAAATAAAAATAAATCTATTTATAATATAAATTTAAATATAAATGTATTTATAATATAAATTTCTTTTGAATTAAGTATTCAAAAGAGGCAGGGAGAGATTAAAACACTAAGATAGGAGTACAGAAAGCAAAGAATGGTTAAAAAGTCGAAATTGGGCCTGTGCGGTTACACCTGAGGGGGAAAAAGAATTCACCTAAGATCAAGTGTACAAACTACTATCATTAGTTCATATAATTAAAACCTATTTTCCCTGAGGACGGGTACTTGCTGGTGAATGCAGCTGTATGGAAAATTTATAGAAAGAAAATCAAGCAGATCTTTGTGCTGAAAACAGATAATTGGCAAATGTAAAACAAAATGTAAATTCAAACTACAGTTGCTTTCTAGAAAGGTGTATGGTTCTAGATAATCTTGAATATTGGTATTACTTCAGTATACTTAAGACATACTTCAGTATTTTTTTTCTCTTCAGAGTGAATTTATAAACATTATGGTCAAAGCATAATTTAAAGCCACAGTGTACTGACTTTGGCTGGGGTAGAATTGATTTTCTTCATAGCAACTTGTATGTTTGGGCTGCCCGTGGCTTGAAGTAGGTTGGAAGAGCTCAGAAAAGTCATGGGTCTGAGAAGGAGCCAGGCTGTGGGCCACTAGCCCATTCACCAGCATTCTCCTGGGTGGCTCAGGTAGACCTCAGGCAGCAGTTACTGCCGTGTGGTAAAGAAGTAAGTAGCAGTAGGCTGTAAACATACCCTGATGGGCAGCTTCTTCAACACACATCACTTGAACTCCTGTTATTATAGTCTGTGGATATTTAACAGCTTTTCTAAGAGCCTGTCCACCTTCATCTGCAATGTGGAGTAAACATGATAGAGCTGTGGATGTTCTGTGGCTGCATTACCTGCAGGCAGCTGCGTGGGGCATTTCAGACGTGTGAGAGAGAAATGGCTTGAGACAGGGAGTGAAGCAAGATTTTTTCAAATAATTAAATCTCATTTCATATACCCAGTATCCTACATTTATTATTGAAATATCACAGGAATTTGTCAGTGGATTTATTTTAAATATTTATGCCTTCTGATTTCAATGAAGTGAGGATTGGGATTCTCTCTCTGATTAGCACCTTTGTAACCCAACAGTGTGATGGGAGAAATGTAAGATGCTTCTTTTGAAATGATGCTTTCAGTAGTGCCTTGATGTCTGATGTTCTTGCACCTTATTTAAAATAATAGAAGAGTATTTTGGAAACAGTTGGTGCTTTTCATGTTGGATTATTGATCAAAAAGGAATCCTGATAATAACAGTTTGGAAAGGGAGAAGGAGCTGTGCACCACTTAAAGATGTGAAGGGATTTTCATGAGTGAACTATTCCTGTTAGGGGAAAATGTGTAACATTTTCTATATTTTTTATTTTTTTTTTACTTTTAATGCAAAAATGTGTTTTCTCTGTAGCGTGTGTAGCAGGAAGCAGAGTCTGTTATCTGCATCTTCGAGCTATTTCAGTTCGTGTCTTTGCAGTAATGTTCAGACTGCGTATTTCCAGATATTTTTTTGGGGAGGTATTTTATAATCATGTGCTATTTTCTACTGATTAACTTATTTATGAGCCTGTTAAAATGTTTGCTATTTATTCTTGTTGTTATTTATAGCATGTGCTGAACTTAATTTAATATAATTCAGAAATCTTATGATTTTAGAAGAGTTATTAGCAATGGAAATATTAATTTGTAAGGGGATGTTAAGGCTAATTTGCAAGGACAGAAAGCATAGTTTGCAGTGTTAGCAACAACTGATAGTGCAAAATTAATAACTTGGGGGTTTTGTGTTCTGTCAGGACTCTCATTCAGATCAGAATTCTTTCAAATGCTCAAACATTGTCCTGATTTTAACTTGGTCTCCAGGTGAAGTTTTTAGTTCCTGTTTTGAACAGATGCTCGTAATGTGGGGGGGACAGCAATGCAAATGAGAAGCTACAGGCTCTTCTGCTTAGTTTTAATAACCTGCTGTATTGATATTTTCCCATTTTCAATCACTTCAGACATGAAGATAATGATGCTTTTATTATTGCAGTCCTTTGCTAGATGTTTTTGTACTCTCTTCTTCAGGACTTTCTTCAGAATACTTAATCTAACCTACATATTATCTAAGCTTCCTGAAGTGTGCTCAGATGTTCTCAGAAAAAAGCTGAGATGTGCTTTTTACCCTGTTATCGTTTTTGTGTATTGAGTTTTCTGTGTATAGGTGTTACACACATATATATATATATTATTATATATGCTATGTATACTGTGCTCTATAAACTGTGACAATTTGAGACTTTTGACTTTTTTAGGCACTTCGTCTCAGCAATGTAGCTATGGCACAAACTACCACTGGTCAAATAGTGAATCTTCTGTCAAATGATGTGAACAAATTTGATCAGGTAAGAAGTATTACGGATCATTTCAAAGGACTGAAGAAATAGTGGGGTTTGAGTTAAGGAGCTTTTGTTTACCACTGGAGATTAAATGCTTCTAATGAAAGTTTATGCTAGTTATTTCTTGAACATCATAGGAAGAGAAATATTCTCTTAAAATACAGGAGGAAAACATACTTCTCCCCCCTGTCCCAGTATTGTCCTGCTGTTTTCCTAAGCTCAGAGAAACATTGGTGCATGAAGGTGAAACAAAAACATTGTGGTAATTTGATTACTCTCTGGGGGTTAGGCACCTCTGTGTACCTTTAGGTCTCCAAATCTAGTGCAGAATTCCACTGAATGCCTCAGTACCTCCTGCAGGCAAAGCTGTTTTCTCAGTTTTGTGTTATTAGGGTTTAATTTTTTAGCTAAGACCAAAAAGCTAATTTTTGTTTCTTAACTATTTGGCTAGGTAACGATTTTCTTGCACTTCTTGTGGGCTGGACCAATTCAAGCTGTAGCAGTAACAGTACTTCTCTGGATGGAGATAGGCCCGTCCTGTCTTGCAGGAATGGCAGTTCTCATTATTCTTCTTCCTGTCCAGACCTGCATTGGGAGGCTTTTCTCTTCCCTAAGGTAAGGTCACGGGTGTTGGGTTGTGTAGGTATTTTCTGTCCTGAGTTTTAGAATGAGCATACTGGATGGAGGTGGGGTACTGCTCTGAGATCAGTTTCTGTCTGGTGAGGTTTTTTGCATTGTCTTTTATCCTTGCCAACGTTGTTCGTAGGCGCTAATGTGAGATTTCTAGATTATGTTTAAGGCCTTGAAGTGTCTTTGAGACATGGTGAAAATGTCTCCTACTCATGATCTATTCAGTATATTAAAAGAGTCGGGCTGCTTCTGTAGCTGCCTACCTTGCTGTAAATCTTAGCACAGAGTTGAGTAACTCCTTGAGCTTTTACTTCCTGCACTGGTGCTTAGAGCTGGTAACTACCAGAGCAATGGTGCCAATCCTGCCGTAAGTTTGATTTACGGGGGTGATACAGGAGTTGCAGCAGAAAGCTCTGAAGGTTTCATGTTCAAAGATCTTGCAGAGAGGAAAAAAAGGGGAAGGAACTGGCAGAGAAAGGAAGAAAAAAATTGTGGTGGTGGTTTTGATGCCAGCTATGAGATTTATAAATGTAAGGTTCCAGGCTGTGAAGACATAAAATGAGTTTGTGGTAATTTTCTATTATCAGACAAATATAATTTGTTTTTCTGTGACTTTCTCCTAAAAAAAAAAAAAAAGACTTGCCTTAAATGGGAATGTTGAATTTTATCTTAAGTGTTCTTGCTTCCTAACTTTTTTTTCCTTGTGTAATTAATCATGCTGTACTTACATCCTGAGTTTATAAATGGCTTTTGCATCTAAATGGTACATTTTGGTGTTCCTTACTGTGTATGCATACACTTAGTAGTGTTCTGCATCTTTGTTGCATTTGTATTCAAGGTGAACAAGTTCCTTCTAGGTCTTTGGATAAGTAAAACTTAATAAAGTAACCTACAGTTGTTTTCCAGTTATATTTTAAGACATGTTTTCCAGAGGTATTGAGATGGGCGTTTCCATTGCATGGCTAGGTATGAAGAGAGAGCTGAGTATTAAAGACCAACTCATAGACTTCCTTCTATTTGCAACCACTGTGATAGCCTTCAGTTTTTATCCTCACATGCTGTTTCTCAAATAATGAGCCCTTCAGTGTTCTCTGATAAATTTCTTAGTTTATTAATAATAAAACTTGGTTTTAGAACACATCTGATATATTCTTACACATACATTTTCCCTGCATGTGTCACATGCATACATCAGTATAAAGGCACCTCACTGCTTGGTTTTTTGACTTTTAAGGTTTTGAGGTTTAGAGCTTTTGAGTCAATAGTTAAAATACCTAGCACTTAAGTAGTGCCTTATCCATGGTTAAGCACTATTATTCCCATTTTACAGATGGGAAGCTGAGGCACAAATAGATTAAGGGACTTGTCCAGGGTCAGACAACAAGCTGACAAAAATCTCTTCTTGAAGGTATGTATTTTAAAAGTTAATTGGTGGCAATGTAATGTTTGGGTTTTGCCCCATTTGTCAGCAGCCACTTGTTTGGGTGCAATGCAAAGGAAAGAATTTGTTAAATAGAACTTTTGCTTGTCTACCTGTGCACAGCTCTTTGTGAATAGAAATGTGCAGTGAACAGAAAGAGTTAATGGAAAAACTGAAATGGATTCCAGGGCTGTAACGATGAGAATTGCTGGGAATCTCTGGATTTAAGGAGATCAGCCTGTGAAGATGTAATTTAAGGATTAAATCTTTTGCTAAAATCCAGGCATGCTCAGTGTGGCAGCTAATTTGTGCTATTATTCAGCCTTGTGGACTTGTGACCTGGTCAGGTTTCTGTGTATATGCACACCACTTTCTGATGCAGGCATTAGCTTCAGTGCTCCAGGAGTTTGCAGAGGTGGACTCAGTATCCCATGGAATGTATGCAATGTATTATGGAGCATTGTTTCTATCTGTACAAGTGCTATGAGTTCTACCAAATACACGTACCTAATACATTATTTGAGAAATAGTTCAATTATTGGACTGAAGACCATATTATATACATTTATTCACTAGACCTCAACCCTTTCACTGCTTAGCCATGCAACTGTCTTATTTAAAGCCCTTTTAATTTTTTTTTTTTTTAAGAGAAAAAAACTATGTGGAACTGTTGTCAGACATTACTAAAACCCATTAAATATACGTCATGAAAGCAAAAAGGAATTCTGTAGCTTGCTTACTGTAGGATGGTTGTTGGTACTGTAAAGGGGACTTCTTAGACACTTGAAGAATTTTTGGGTCCTTTCTTAATGCGCTCTTAAGTGTGCTGTGTGAGAATGTGTTTCCCAGTCATCCTGATTTGTGTGTACTCTGAAATCAGTATTTTTAAAGTTGGGGACACGTATTCCTCTGCTGTAAATTGTCATCAGTGTCCTGGAAGTCTGTGGACTTTAAACCATTATATGATATCTCTGAGAGTGTGGCTTCTGGTATGTATGTACAAAATATGCTTTTTGTAGTGTGGAGGAGTGTAACAAAAAAAGAGCACCCTCACATACCCCCTCTTGAACATTTTAAAGGAATTTGAAAGAGGATGGCTAGTATAACATTTCAGTGGAAACACTGACAAATTGGTTTAAGAACTAGAGCCTTTTTGATTGACACCATTTAAAAAATAAATCTCCATTAACTTTGTTAGTTTAATCACCTTCAACCTTCTGTTAGCTGGAGACCAAGCCTGGAAGTTAGGTCTGCAAGGTGACTGTTCCAAACGAGGGCAGGTGAGAGATGTTTGCTGCTGCAGAGTCATGGACAGCACCAGCTGAATTTTGCCTTTTGCAGTGGTGGTCTGTGTATATGGGGAGGAGAGAATGAGCTCTCATGTTCTTTAAGGAACTATTTTCTTCTGCTGTTTCCTTTTTGGAAAAGGAAAAGAGGAATTAGCAGAGATAATCTCACTCCATGTCAGCATGGTTGGTTTAGACTCAGCTATCTTCCTCAGTCATAATAAGAAGCCCTTGATTCTATTAGTGCCAAGTTCCTATGTTTCTTTTGTCAGTTTTCTTGTATAAATACTTTTTAATACCCTTCTTCAGCCATCCCAACATGTATGGAATGCTGAGAAAGTGTCAGTGCATGGGGTTTTTTTTAGAGTTTGGTTTTTTTTTGGTTTTTTTTTAAGATGATGAGCAGATGCCTGAAATTCTAAGTCCTTTAAATGTGGCTGTTTCTTCCAGAGCATCAGAGAAACCTCAGAGGGGGCAGGTTAACCTGACAAAATCCAGGCACCCCTTCTAAAGAGCTTGTGGGTTTTTGACTGTTTGTTTGTTTGTTTTTTGTTTTTGTTTTTGTTTTTTTTTTAAAACATCTCTGTTCTTATTTTTGTATATACCAATGGAATTTAAGTAATTTAGCAAGAAAAGGTACATTTTATCAAAATAAGGCCTACCATAGCTCACTATGTGCAGAGCATGTTTGTCTACATGAGTGAATTCAGAATGGTAATAGACTTTATTAGCATGATTTATGCATTTATTACACGGCTTCTAACTTCCAATGTTTTTTTCCTAATTAAAACAGTGACTTTATTATTTAATTTTATATATTTTCCAGTTTATTCATCAGTGCAAACATAAAGTGGGACTCAAATAGTTATATTTACTTTAGTGTTAATTACAATTGATGCTTAAATAATCTTTATTTCTTAAAAAAAACTGTATCTAGATTAGCTCTCCTAAATTATAGCTCTTGTACTGTTAGTAAATAATCTTTGCTTCACGTAGTGTTCATGTTTTAACACTTGTGTCATTTTAAAGACACAACTGAAGGCCAGTTTCTTTAACAACATCAAAAAAGCATTATGAGAAAAGTTATTTTGGCATTTAAAAAACAGTTTTAAAAGCAATTTTCTGGTATTTCTTGTGTCATTTTAAAGACACAACTGAAGACCAGTTTCTTTAACAACATCAAAAGAGCATTATGAGAAAAGTTGTTATTTTGGCATTTAAAAACCAGTTTTAAAAGCAATTTTCTGATATTTGTTTAGTCCTAAATTTAGTATTTGTAAATTTTTTTAATTTAATTTTTTTTTTAATGTTATTTGAGGAGTACCATGTGTCTGCTCAAGGTGAGGTGTAATTCTGAATATTGAATCAACTCGGTTCCCTTAGAAAAGGGAATAGTAGGAACACAAACAGTTACAAGTCTGTGTGCTGCATCAGCTTTAACATAACTGTTTTAGGAAGAACCTTTAATGCAATTGCAATTCTATGAATCCTCTTTACAAGTAAAAGCAAAAACTTCATTAATATAAGTATGTTACATGATCATGAACAGTTTCTCTCCTTTTGAGAATCTGAGAGATTTTACTTTGTGCCATTGACAGAAGCAAGACAGCTGCCTTAACAGACGTCAGGATCAGGACCATGAACGAAGTCATAAGTGGTATGAAGATAATAAAGATGTATGCTTGGGAAAAATCATTTGAGGAGCTTGTGAATGGGTTAAGAAGGTAATCCTGGACAGCTCAGTATATAATCTATGTCTGCTTCATTTTTTTTACATCTCAATAAGTGCATTATTTTGTACTTTAAAGTGCAGTTTACTTGAAGTTCTTTGGTGCCTTTTTTAACTTTCTGTGGCAAGAGTAAAGGAATGAAAATATAACCTAAGGGGACCAAAAAAAGAGGGGGAAAAAAATCCCTTGATATTTATAAATTCAGGGTTTTTTTTGTGTGAACCTTTTACAGTTCTGTTTGAAAACAGCAACTAATAAACTGTAGTAGTGGTAACTGAACTATTTCATCCTCACAGTTCTGTAAACTAATAGCAAGAAACCAATAAGCAGATGTTTGCCTTCTGAGAAGTATATAGAATCTGACTTTCTGTCCTAAATGACAGTATCCTGGGGTTGTTCTGCTTCCTTTTGTGCATTTTGAACTGTTGTCCAAGCCACCTGGGGGCAGAGGAAGGAGGAGAAGGACAGAAGCTCAGAAATTCCCTAGCTGTTCAACTGGCAAAGCCAGCTAAGTGTAGTATCCCAAGACATTTCATTTCAGAGGTCAGCCAACATCTGATTAAAATTTACTCAGAAATGTGATTTTCAATCAGTTTTTGTTCTTTTATTTGACATTATAAGATCATTCAGTACTAAAGCATAACTGTAGGAGTTCAGGTGTATATTCCTCATCACAAAATTTTTGTGTTACGTCACTCTCCAGCAGGTGAGAAGAAGGTTGTTAACCTGCTGTAGATCCTCTGCTTTTTAAAAATCTTGTTTTATTTGGAATTCCTTTTTTTAAAAGGAATTTATTTGCTTTACACCCAGGTGCAGGCTTGCAAACTTGCTAATGTTCACTGAGATGTTTCTTCCCACGCGCACAAATCCTTTCCATCAGATTATAGGATCTTGTGCTGATTGAATGCTCTTGATTGACTGAAAGCTTTGCTCTCTTGCGTGGAGTCAGAGAAGATATTTCTTTATTGAAATCTTCCTTGTTGGGTGTATTCATATCACTAAACTCTACATTTCCATGTTCAACACCTCATTAGGATTAGAGGCTTCATTTACAATAATGGAAAGAAATAAAACCTTCCAAAAGACTTTTTGAGCCCTCTTTTTTTTTTTCTATAATTGCACTGTGGAAAACTAGTTAGAAGTCTTAAATCCAGCCAGGTGATTTATTGCCCAGTATTTCCACAGTGGCCCTTGACAGCTGCTAAGACAAGACCTGAACTCCTCCGTTGCTCTTTTTTCCTTTGGGTGTCCCTATTAGTTTCCTTTTATATAACTCCATGTCTTAAGACAGTGTAGTATAGTACATACAGCCTGCAGGTAGGCTGTAATTTATCTGATTTATGGGGAGTAGCACAAAGAACTGCCTGATTTTTCGCAGATAGTGAGAGGATTATTAAGGATTATTAGAGGGTGGGAAAAGAGTTTCGTCCAGGATTGTAGAAGTAATTGAATTAGACCCAATTTAAATAGTTTACATACAAATGTTCTTTCACTGTACTCTGGAGGAGATCAGAGATTGTGAGCCCCTAAGCTGAAAAAATAAGGCTTTGAAACTCCTTGAAAGTCTGTCAATTCAGCCAATTTGGCAAGTATAGTGGGAAAGTTGCTTAACTAGTTTTTCAGTAGTGCTTCTTGTATCCTTCTCTCTGTTAAGAGAGGAGTTAAGTTATTTCTAGTTTTATAATCATAACTTAAGTTTTGATTCTTACTGTGTAGTTCCAAGTGGAAGGTAATCAAAATGATCAAGATTTTCCCTGAAAATTGACACCTGAATATTTGGGAAGAGGAAATAGGAATTGTTTCAGGATTTTTTTATTCTGCATTTTTTTCAAGCAGACAGAATATATGATGAAGCAGTAAGTCGCTATGGGTCTTTTGGTAAAGAAAAACTATTATTAAGAAGTTAAGCATGGTGGCATCCACATTATAGATAGTGCAGTAACATTTTAAGAATTGGACTTGATGAGTTATTTAAAAGTAGAAACTGAAATTTAACTGAAGTGGAAATTGAGGACATATTCTTCAGCAGCTTTTCAGTTGCTGGAGGGATGCTTTACAAGCCTATGTAGCACTCCAGTCACTATTTTGCTTGGGTAGTGCCTGGCAGAACAATTGGCCTCACAGATCAGTATTTTCTGAATTATGTACCAGAATTCCTAGAGCAAAAGAAACCAGAAGCAGGGTCCAAATCAAGAAGGATTTAGAGCGAGATCAAAGGAAGTATTGCCAATCTTGTGATCCAGCCTGAGGAGCAGCAGCTGAGTAACAGCAGATACTTGGGCCATGGCTAAACTCTTGATCTTTTCAACTGCAGAGTATGTGTTGATCTTATCAGGAGTTTTGCCACTGAACTCTACTGGATTTTGATATTGGAAGAACAAGGAGTTTGTGGATACTTGGCTTTTATACAGAGGTTTTTTCCTTTTTGATCTTGTATGCAGCCCAGAAAGATTCAGACCATGTTAGAACCTGAATTAAAATACTAGGTTGACCAAAGCAGGGAAAAAAGGAGTATTTTGGTTTTCTGTCTCTGAAAAATAATTATTTTCTATAGCTACTAAGATGTTAAGTATTTTTCCCCACTGAATTTCTAGGCCTTTAAAATTCTCTTCTGTCATTTACCATATAACATAGTTCATTTACACTTGTTTACCATATGAGTTGGGGAGGTGCAAGGAGAGGAGAAAGGGTATAAAAGTAAAATCCTCAGAGTTTCCCTCATCCCGTCGTTGAGGGCAACTGTAATGATACTGATGGAATTGTTTACGTTTTGCATTTATAGGAAGGAGATCGCCATGGTCATGAAAAGCTCCTACCTCCGAGGGCTGAACCTAGCCTCTTTCTTTGTGGCAAGCAAGATCACAGTGTTCATGACGTTCATGGCCTACGTGCTGCTGGGGAACGTGGTGTCGGCGAGCCGGGTGTTCGTGGCGGTGTCGCTGTACGGGGCGGTGCGGCTTTTTCTTCTTCCCCGCCGCCGTCGAGAGGGTCTCCGAGGCGCTCATCAGCATACGGCGCATCAAGGTGCGGCCCCTGTCAGTGGCACCTGGATTTCTTCTCCTGTTCTGACAGTGTTGTAATGCTGTGGGCTAAAGCAGCTTTCTTTGAGTTCTGCAGGTTGGGATTTTTAATGCAATAACCCGTTTTGAAAGCGGAACGCGTGGCTCTGTGTGCGCACGGGTGGAACCCTGGCGTGCACTGTAGGGCAGGCTGAAATGCAGGAGGAAGGTGTACGTGCAAAGAGGTGGTGTAAATATTTTGGAAGTATGAAGAACATGTGTACGTATGTGCAGATGCGTTGGGATTGGGAGCTGGAGGACAAAGCAGGCGGGTGGGAGCTGGGCGATTCAAGTTCCACGTGCACTGCACTACCCTGTCAGCCACGTGTGAGCCCTAGCTGGTGTCTTGTGGCTGTTCTCATCACTGGAGTAAAGGCTCAAATTCAATAAGGAGGAACATCAGTGATGCTGCTGGCTTTGGCAGATGGACTTAATTTGGTTTGCTGCATTTAATGTGTGTTATGAATAGAACAGTCGTGTTTGCTCTATATACCAGGACTTCAGCATAAACGGCAAGAGCGAAAAACTTAAATGCAAAATGCATTTTGAATTTAAAACTTAAAAAACACCCAAATTGTCAGGTTATTGAGAATTAAAGCACGCCGTCCATTTTAGAACTTAATTTTGCAAAATGAACAAGTTAATCTAACCTAGAATAGGGCAAACAAACACTTTAAATGTAATCATATGGCCTTTCATAGTGTCAGTATGCCATTTGTTGGTGAAAGTAGCTAAAAATCTCCTATTTTGTGTTGTTCTTTGTGTGCTTGAATATAATAAATCAGTGGGGTTGTTTTGGTAATTTTTTTTTGCTGTACTAAACCTGCAGAAAAAATGACGTATTAAGCGGGTAATCTTTTTGCTTCAAAGAGGCATTTTGTAGAAGTTGATGCTAGTGGAGTTAGAGGTGTGAAAATCATGACCACAGGAATATTGTGGGCATTAATATTTATTATTATTGCTTAAACTAAGCTGTGGGAGGGGAGAGAAGCACTTGAGATACTTCATGCTGCATGTTGTCTTCTGTACTCTCATACACCCTCTGTTCAGCTGCAGGACAGTGCTTTTTAAAGGGATTTTTCAAGATGTGCAGGCTGAGAGACATGGATGGCTGAAAAAAGATGACTTAGGAACAGCAGAATGGCACTTGAGCAGATCAGTGACTATCTGTTGCTTTGTTTTGCTGATAGCTGGCTGCAACTCCCTTGCACTTATGACTCCTTATGGATGTTTATTGGAAACCAGCTCCAGAACCAAGGTTCATTGGGCAAAGAATTGTCCTAATGAATCTGTAGCATCCTTGATGCTGTAACCAACTTTTTATCTTCCTTTTCCCATCCTGTTTCAGAGTTGGACCTTTTGCTACTCTACTGAATGACAGGATGCTGCCTTACCAGAGATGTGTTATTGAAATGTAAATAGGTGGAAGTAGGAGAAGAGAGTAGGAAATACATAAAAAATGATTAAGATAATGGCTAGGTATATTTGGGCAAAACTGAAAATGTGTTTGTGTTTTTTTTAACAAAGGTGCTTTCTCTTAGATTTTGTAGAGCAGGTGAGGTTTCTGCACTCATATGTAGTACACTCAGATGGAAAGAAGGAAGCAGGAGTTACTATGCTTCGGGTGGCAATAAAGAATGATAGATAGGAAGTAGTAGTATTTCCTCCATATTCATTTATACTTGCTTTATATTTTTATATTATTACTATAATTCTTCAATAAGAATTGTGTGGCAAAAAGAACAGTGGTCTCCTTACTGTGTTTTTCACCTAAGCTCTCTTTTCCCCTCACCCTACCTACACATCTGAGAGCTTATCTGCATCTCTTCTTGAAGCTCATTCACTCTTGTGGTGGAGCAGTAGGCTCAGGGTCCCCTCACAGAACAAAGGGAGAAGGGTTGTTTTTCAGAGGGTTATTTTGGCAGAGATGCAGAAAAGGGGATAAGTTTCAGCTGGGTGCAAAAGATAGAGGATTTTTTTTTAAGGACGCAGTCATATCTCCAGCTAATGTTTGCTTCTTGGCATCCTGTGGGTGATACCAACTTCATTTCTCTCTGCAGGGAAGAGTATTAAGTACAAAAAGGATGGAAGAATGTTTGAAGATAACTTGAAGAGTCTCTAGGGCTTATTTATTGCATTTGAAAGTTTTATTTCTAGCGTTGATTCTTTTCCCCACTGTTTAAAATTCGCTATGTTAACCATATAACTTTTTTCTACATTCATGCTAGTTACATTTGAAGTCTCCTGTATGTGATACTGTTACATTTTTGAGTTTAATAGCTAGCTGGGATTTATGCCTGTGATGAGTGCTATGGCTAGAAGAGAAGTTGCAGGTAAAGACAGCAGCAAGGACAGATCGACTCCTTCCTTACAGCCGCCGTGGTGTTTCAGCCATCATCCAAATCGAGATCACGCTTCTGAAGTCTTTTCTCAAGCCACACACCCTAATCCTGATTTAGGCTGTGTCTGGAGTGCCTTCCCCTGGCTACCACTCTGTATAATCCCCAATTCTTTTCTGCCCATGTACCCATGGGGCCTGCCTGTCTAAGAGAGCTCAGCAGCTCACACCTGGCTGGGTTGCTCAGGTGTGCGTGGCGTTGCCCGCCTGCCTTTTGGTGGAGATGTGCACAGAGTGTGCAGGCTGCTGCACTAAAACACTGACCACTTCTCTCTAAAACAGTGTCCTAGTTACTGACTTCTGTAAGCCTTTGGCAGCCATCTGGCATCTGCAAACTGTTAGCTCAATGCTTGTTAACTAGTCTTGGCTTCTAAGATCAAGACATTCCTTCTTCTCTCAAAATATTGTCTGCTAGACCCTATTTAAAGGTCTTTATGCTCTGTGATTAAAAGCTTGGGAGAACTTTTCTGATTCTTAAAATTGTGGTAAATGTCCTGGTTTCATCTTAAACTGTGGTCCTTGACAGTTTTCTCTAGAATTTGCCCCTTTCCTTTCTAAATGTGTTTCAGCTATTTATAAATCTAGCATTGGGTGAGATGTGCTAGAAGTGTGGCTGTGGTACAAAAGTTTGTGTTTATGCAACTTGAAGGAAAGCTCTGTCACTGGGGTGTAATGTAGAAATACAGTAGTGAAAGTGCCACAAACCAGTTAGGGATGCATAAGCAGTTGGTTTTTGTTAATGCCCTGGACTTTAAAAGGAGGTGAGGTTCAGATAGTGTTCTGCAGGCTTTTTGTCACTTGAAGAATGCTTAGCAGAGACAATGGACAGCTTCTTATCACGTCTCCATTGTTCTTCTGAGTGAAACAACATAAGCCCTTACCACCCAAGTGGAAGGATAAGGTGTTGCAGTGAGGGTTTCACCTCTTCCTCATGGGAAGGAGGAGTTAAACAATTGTGGGATTGGTCAGTGATTCAAGGATAAGATAAGGTGAGTGCTTAAGTTTCATTGGCTTCAGGAATTGTGGTTTTTTGAGCAGGTGATTGTTAGAGTCTTGTAGTACTTTTAAGCTATTAAAGCTGCATTTTTTTGGGGGGGTGGGGGGAAAACAGCTAGACAGCCTTCTGTATGCTGCTTCCAAAAACCTGTGTTTAGGTTCCTTTCCCATTCTCAGCCTCACATCAGGCAATACCCTGTGCTTTTCTTTCATTGCAGAACTTTCTGATACTGGATGAGGTCTCACACCTCAGGCCACAACTGCATGGTGGCAATGAGAATATCATTCTTCACGTTCAGGATTTGACTTGCTATTGGGATAAGGTAATTTTATTTCTACTAAATATAAAGTATATTGGTACTGTGGGTATTTTAAGTCTAAAAAGTAATATGTTTATTTATAGTGTGCTGATGTTTTGTATTTAATCTTTTGTGTATGAGCATCCTTTTAGTATGTTAAGCTAACTCTGTAGAATAGTATTGAAGACACTATCATGTGCATCTTAAAAAGTAGTTATTCCTGAAAGTTATACTAAATGAGAATCTGCATTTCTGTGTGGAAATCTCTGTTGCTATTAAACAGCACTGTATTGTAGCCGAGGTAGTTAAGTAGTTGAGGTAAGGACAGAGAGCACAGTAAGGTGGGCTGTAGCACATGGATTTTTTTCTATGAACTGACCACTGATCAGTCAGTCTAGAAGCAGTACCCTATTGTGGTTCTTGTGACACATTTGAGAGCTTTAGGGAGTAGTCTGCATGTATTTCTTAATCTGTGTTTTAGTTGAGACTGCTCAGCTACAAATTGTTCTCTGCTTAAAATGCACCAGAACCACCAAAATGACTAAGAAACGGGGACAATGTGCAAGTGATAAATCTGTTATGTATCCTTTTCTGTGAGCAAGGCAGAGATTGACTGTTATTTCTGTTTTAAAACTGCAATTTGCAATGAATTATTGGAGCTATTACGAGCTGCCAGTATCCTAGCACAATGGAAGCTTCAGTCTCCATAAGAAATGCTGGAAGGTCTAAAACTGAATTTTGCATATAAATCTAGTGCAAATAAGACATGTCACATGTTTCCCTTTATAAACCTTCTTCCCCTACATGTTTTGTGTCCCAACGAAGATAAAATATGAAAGCATAGTGAGGATCTACTTATTGCTACTACTACTCAGCTACAGAAGAAAACTGTGATGTTGTTGTACTTTACTTTCTCAGAGTTGTTTCTGTGACATAAATCTGAGACACTGAACACATTTTTAAAAGTTAATTGCTATGAAAAGCTTAATGGTAAATACATTCTAATGCAAAATGGAATTTATTGCTTAATCTTTTTCTTCCCAAACCAACACTGGTACTACTGTTAACAGTTTATAGGATATGGTTGCATAATATGCCCATAAAACACCTTCTCTTTTTTTTTTTTTTTCATGAGTTGTTTATATTGCATAAAGCAGGGCAGCATGACTGGAATTACTGGTTTCCTTTTGATTTAAAGAAACCAAACCAGCAAACAACCCACAAAACTATTATTGTAATTTTCATTTTTTTAATTTAATTGCAGTGTGCATGGGATACGAATAGTTCTCCCAGAACTATTAAGAACTATTAAGCTACTCAAAAAGTTTCACTTATATACTCTTACAGTGATGCAGAACAATTTTATAGAACTGCTGGCTGAAAAGATGATTAGTTCTGAGAGGATTTAGAAAAGGAATAATTAAAAAATGCTATCCTTTGTCAAGTAATTGACATAGCTTGCTACTCTGACCAGGTTTCTCAAGGCTCTTTGGATCTACATACAAACACTGTACAGCTGGATGATTTAATTTTTCTTTTTAAAGATGGTGAGCCAAAAGAGATACTAAAAACAACCAACAACCCACAAATCCAAAATCACTGGAAGTAAAAAGGAGATTATTAGCTAGGCTGTTAGGAAAACAACCTAACATGGTGCATTACAGTTTATCAAAAGATAAACAAAACTTATTAGTCCATGGTCACACTCTTGTTTTGCTAAGGTGAGTACTAGCTTGAGTCCCATAGGCTAGCCTGATACCATCATGGAACTAGGGATTCTTCAGTACAGGTTTTTATAGAATAGTCTTGTCTGCTCAACTGAGCAACTTTAGGTTTAAAATTCAAGCATTTGAACAGGCGCCAAATTTATCTCTTGGAATTTTAGTCACTTAAATTGAGGAGCCTAAGTAGTATTTTACTTTTGTGCAATATATGATCTCTATATCCCTTAAATGGGATGAATTGCTTCTTTCTCCTGACTGTAGGACATCTACCCAAGCTCACCTAAGGAGCTGCTGCTCCTGAAGGGACCATTCTTGTGTCCTCCTGTCCTCACACTCTGTGTCTCTGTTCCCTCCTTTGTGCTGGTGCATGTACTTTTATGTACAGCCCTGTGGGGAACCAGTTCAGAGGGATAAAGCAATATAAAGTTAATCACTTCTGATGTGATTTGTTTCCCGGTAGCAGAGTCCCCTGAGCAACTCATCTGCAAGGTGAGGCAAGACCAAGACGGGGATCGTTGACAGGGCGCAGGGGAGATGGCACATTTGTGGCAGTGAGCTGTAATATTAGTCTGTGCTCTAATTTGAGTGCCTCAGTTAAGTGCCTAAGGAGAGATGGGATGAATTCAGGACAAATTGTCTTTAATTATAAGGAAAGCTATTTTGCAAAAAATACTATGCCCCTTAGGTGTTTGTGGCCATGCTGTTTGCAATTACCATGTTAGGTAACCCACAGTAGTGCTATAAAAGCTTTAGAAACTTTTAAAAAATTGTAGTACTTTTAGGCTCTTGTGATACATTTTTTTTTTTTTTTTTTTAAAAAACTCAAGGGCAGGAAGAAATACCTTTGCACCTTTGTGAATACAGAAGTTCAACCTCGAGAGGTCTGGAGAAGGGCCTGTGTGTCTGAAAGCTTATCTTCCGTATAGGTTAATTGATTAAATAGGAGATTTCACCCCTAGAAACTTTGCATTAAAAAAAAAAAAAAAACCAAAACCATCCCTGGCTGCCATGGTTTTGTAGAGTTCCCCTGACCTCAGCACTATCTGAGCATCTCAAGGGTGGACTGTGGCTAAGAAATTACATTGATGGTAAAGTGCCCGTTGGGAGAGGGCGGCGGAGAACGGGGAAAAAAAAGCCGCGTTGGTGCCACCTTGTGGAACATAGTAATAGCAGCAAAAGTTGCACAGCACACAGGAATTTGGGTTCTCCCCGTGTGAACGCTGCGGCGGCTCTGCGGGGTGGGAGCCGTTGGGGGGGACGTGCAGCTCTGGTCTCCAGATGCAGCGCGGCCGAACCGGGTATTTCTGCTGGCGTGAGTGGACACGGGTGCTAGCTCAGCTCTCCCAGCTGTCATAGCTGCAGGTAGATCCTGCATCTGTACCTCCCAAATAATTTGAAACAAGTTTCAAGTTTCCCCTTTTCACAGTCCAACATCTTGGTCATGCAGCATCTTTGGTGCGAGGTTAGGTGGTGGCCTTTTCAGCCTCCTGATCTTCAAAGGGTGGCTGGAGATTTTAAGCAGTCTGCAAGCTGTTAAGAGCTAAACTAGATATTCTTCACCTTGCTTTTCTTTCGTGAAGCTTAAAGATGGGTTTTCATTTGGTCCTCTTAATAGAAATATATATATATTTTAAATGCATGTATTTTCCTGTTTGCATTTTGGTGTCAGTCATGCTTAGCGTGGTCTAAGATGCATGTAAAGGCAGATCCTGTTACAAGGGTGGTTTGATTTAAAGAGAGAGAGCTGCACGAGGCCCTTAGGAATTGTGGTTTTAGCATAGCTATTAAAGGCATGAACATCTCTTCTTTTCACAAGAAGTAGGCGTTTTTACAACCTTGATAGGAGAGTTGTGAAATATGTTAGGGAAATAAGTTCTTATCAGTACTGTAACATAAAGGATAGGCATACTGAAGAGGAATGTCAAACAATCCTAGGGTAGAATATTTTCACACAAACAGCCCACTATGTGGTCTGTGAAAAGTCTCAGAATCCACGATGTACAAGATGAAGTTACATAAAATCAAATGGCATTTTTCTGTTTTCACTTGGAATAAAACCTTGACTCCAGCAAACAGACCTGGCTCTCCTGCGGCTTGAAGAGACCTTCAGCCCTCACCTTTTCCAGCATTAGTCTGGCTGCTTGGAGTGGCCCAACGTGCTGTGCTGGGGCCATGAGTGCCTCCTGTTTCAAGGCTGCCACCTCAGCCTTGTGCTGAGCTGCAGTGAGGATGTGTGGGCTTTGAGGAAGCACAGCTTCTGCTGCCTTCGTGTTCCTCCTTCCTTGAACACTATTTTAGCTGTGTTACTTGTTTGTAGTGAGAGCTGGGTCTTTCAAAAGTGTTTGTGAAGAAGCAAACTATATGTCTGAAGATATGGTGGGCAAATTCAGCATCATTTAAGTGTGTTGTTTTCTGTTTCCCAAATCCACAGAGTTTAGAAAGCCCAGCACTTCAACAGCTTTCCTTTACTGTCAGACGAGGGGAGTTATTGGCTGTGATTGGTCCTGTAGGAGCTGGAAAAGTAAGTCTTAATGTTTACTCCATTCTGTGGGGGTTTTATGAATCTCTTAAACATGACTAGAAACTTGAAAATGTACAGTTCTTTTCTGTGTATAGTAACACACTTCACATCAAGATTCTGGCATTCAAGAAAGGCAGATGTCCTCCTGGGGGTGAGGAGGAGACGACTTGGAGTTAAACGGTGCTTCATACGTTGCTTCTAGGCTGCCTGTAAAGTGTACTAGTGCTTTTAGAATCATACAAATGTTTAGGCTGGAAAAGACCTTTAAGGTCACTGAGTCCAACCATTACCCTAACTCTACCAAGTCCACTGCTAAACCATGTCTCTAAGCACCATGTCTGTACAACTTTTAAACACATCCAGGGACGGTGATTCAAGCACCTCCCTGGACACCCTATTCCAGTGCCTCTACTGGTAGCAGTAGTTTGAGTGACAGGGTGAGGTAGGCCATCGTGCCAGCAAATACTGCTCAATCTCTGTGATGTTTTTAATGTGATCAAACTTTTAAATTTTTATTTTATTTAACATTTTTTCCAGTCCTCTCTCTTAAGTGCTGTGCTTGGTGAGCTGCCTAAAGACAAAGGCTTGATAAATGTTACTGGAAGAATTGCCTATGTTTCTCAGCAGCCCTGGGTGTTTTCTGGTACAGTAAGAAGTAATATACTGTTTGACAAGGAATATGAGAAGGAAAAATATGAGAAAGTTTTAAAAGTCTGTGCTCTGAAAAAGGTATGGTTTTCTCTTTGTCTTTTATTTTCGTGCTAGTTATTTTTGTCTCAAGGTTCTTTCAGACTTGTACATGCTGCAAGATGTAATAGAACTGATTGTTGTTAGTAGTGTGTGAAGTAAAACCCACGACTTAACAGGAATGTTTAATTATTTTTGATGTCTATGAGCATGTTCTTGTAATTCCTAAGACTTTCACTAGAGGGAGGTGTAGGTTATGTGAAACACAGGTTAATTTTGAAAAAGCTGGTCCCTATTATTTAATTTCATAATCACGTTTAGCCCTTTTCTCTGTTTTATGGTAGGGCTGCGTGTGTGTAGTTGCGATGAAAGATGGAAAACAAATGACCAAGCTAATACTATTTGTGACTTCCATTTTTAAAATACCCTGTATGCTTTTTAAAAAATAAATGTCATGTATATCATGCATTATGCACTGCTGATGGTTATCGAAAGAACCTTAGTGCTATATATAGGAGAACTTGCTGAGCCCAACTAGTTCTATGAAAAAATATTTTTGAAAGGTCTGTGTGCAAAGGAGTTTGTGACACAAGATATAGAAGAGGATTAAGCCAGATTTGTCAAGAAACAGACATTTTGCTTGGCAGCTAAAAAGGTTTTATGCAGCACGCTACTATATTCCTGTCAGCTGCAACACAGGTGAAAAGCGGATGGTTACTGTGATGAAAATTTTTTTGCAAGGTTTTTACACATGGTAGATAGTTTTAATATAACCTGCTGATATTCAGTCATATGCTGTTGTCTAAACTTCAGGTTTTAGTGAATTTAGAAGACAGCAAACTGCATTGAAAAAAAAAACACTTCATATTTGATGGTAGATTTGCTTTCATAGTTTTCTTTCAAATTTATGTATCTGTATAAAAGCTGTGAATAAACTTTCAGAATATGTTTTATAGCTTAATACAAAACTTCTCTATTTCCTGATTAGGAAATATAGTAATATGAAATGGAACACTATAATTTTTTTTTTCTTACTTGTAGTTCCAAGCCACATAAATTAACCAAGTCTCTGTGATGAATATTGTGGTTATTTTTCTTTGACACTTTGGAGTAAGAATAAAAATAATGCAGTACTTCTTCTTAGTGTGTCAGCTCATTTTGTTCTAGTAAAAAATAATTATTTTACTGTAATACTTCATAATTTTTAGTTTGATTTTCTGAATCACCAGCAAATAGTTCTTATAGCATTAAGAATAGTAGTGAACTTCCCTCTGACAAAGCTGTAGGCTAAGTGAACTTTTAAGATTTCACTTATTTTTCATGTCGTCTTACTTATCTTTTACTGAAGGTACAGAGTCACAAAATAAGAGCAGATCTTTAATTTAGTATGAATCCTTGTGTTTTCATGTGAGATGATAATTAATATTTTTCAAATAAGAACATATAATGTTGAATCAGCTTTGTTGGTCATTGAAGTTAAAATGATTAAAGACAATTAATACAGTCTTGCTGCCTGTTCTTTCACATTCACAGGACTTGGAATTATTAGCAGATGGTGACCTAACAGTAATAGGAGATCGTGGAGCTACACTGAGTGGGGGACAGAAGGCTCGTGTAAATCTGGCCAGGTTTGTGGGTTTTACTCTTTCTAAAATTTAGGACTTCTGAGACTTTAGTGACTAAAGTAAACAAATGGAAGACTTTGAGATACTTACTTTTCTTTAAACCTTTCAGAGCTGTGTATCAAGATGCAGACATCTATCTTTTGGATGATCCACTGAGTGCAGTAGATGCTGAAGTTGGAAGACATTTGTTTGAAAAGTATGTCACTGATTTATTTTCATCTAAAATACAATTGTTATCTTCTAATGCCTTGTAGAAAAACTTGAGAAAGCATTTTTGGGGAGATGAGTCTCTTCACAAAGCTTAATGCATTCACCTTCTGTGTTTATTTTTCCTCTATTTTATGTAGTTGGAAGATGTATAATTTTTTTCCTGTTTTTGTGTTTCATTTTGTTCTTTATTTTCAAAAGTCTGTTTTTAAAATACTATAATTAGAATTATTCTTAAGGAAACATATGCCATTTTCTTGAGGAAAATGTCAGTTTTCATATACAAGTATTGGGGTTTATGAATATTAGTCCTGAGAATAATAGGGGGTGAGATTTTAAATCACCTAGTAATTTTCTGCAGCTTTATTTGTGTAGCAATAAGCACTGAATACAAGTGGCTAAGGAAAAGGACAGAACTCTCTTATAGTCTTGAGTGAATTTTCATTTTTGGTCTTGAATGGTTGAAATTTCTCTCAGGTAGGTGAAAAAGGGAATCATGGCCTGCAGAATTAGACTGTGGAGAGCAGAAATAGAGGAAAAGAACATGTATAACATAACCATGAAAGAGAGATATGGGGCCTTTCTCCCTTCCTGAAGAAATGGGAGAGTGTTCATTAAAAGTCAGATTCCCTTCGCAATGAATTTCTTCTCCATCTCTCTTCTTTAAAACTGCTTAGTCTATGGCACATAGTGAGTATGAGAATAATCCAGTTATTCCCAGCCAGTGTTTCATCCTGGCTTCTTCCTAGCCTGCGGCTCTCGGTATCAAAAGGCATAATCTAGAATTCATTAGAAATAGAAAGAAAAAAAAATTCATTTGCTGAATTCAGTGGGCTTTGTTTGAAGCCTTAAATGAGTGTTTTCTTGGGCATATTTACATCCTTTGAATTCCACACTCCAAGTATATCAATTAATTTGGCTTTACTGTTGTTCCCTCCTTTCCACCCCTAGACAATCATGAGAACTTGTCTTGCAGAAAGGTTGTAGAATTTGCACTAGGTAGCACTGCATACATGTTCATTTTCCCCTGTGCAGGGAAGCCTGTAGTATCTAAATTTGAAAATTGTACATCCCATTTTTGTTTTCAGTTTCAAATCTGGAGATACCTCTGAAACCCCAGCAATATTTTGTTTTCTTGTATTGATTTCTTCAAATGACTACTGTTTGTGTGCATTGGCCAGTATGAAGGAAGAGTTTTATGATGCATAAGCTTCATGCTCATTGTTCTGTGCTAGATCATTTTCATCTGCCACGACTGGTAGGTGGAGTTCATTACTTCTGTAGTTCACAAACTCTATGAAATACCTTTAATGCCTGTTGAAGTTAAGTTTTAGCTGCTGCTTTTCTGTTTCTGCATGAGATCACTCTACAGTTCCAGTATGTGACTGTATCAGTGCTCAGGTTATGAAAGGGCACCCATCTGAGCTGTTAACCCATCTCTGCCTGAAGTCTTAAAGGTCTTTTCAGAGGGAGGGAAACAGGGAAGGACAGTAGTGCCTTGCAGAAGAGCTCTTTTCCTTGCACCCTGCCTTCTCAATTTATTCTGTGTTTTATGGGAGCTGTGACATCGGCAGCTACTGCAAAACTGGAAGTCTGGATTTTTGTACTTGAAGAACCTTAAAGGAGCTAGAAACCATTGCTCTGCGAGCACAGCCTATGTTTTACTGACAAATGTGTGGAGTTGAGCAGGAATAAGGAGATTATATCACAGAACTTGAAACTCAGAAAGCTAGCAGGAATTCTTCCTTTACTTTTGTTTACTGTTCCTCTTCAACTCTAGATCAACTTGAGTGAAACAGATAGATGGAGAATGAAAGCATTTAGTGGAGAAAATGAACTGGGAGGAGTAGTAGTGACAAAGAAAACGGAGCAATGCCTCCCTGTTCAAAATCTTAATGGAGGGCATTTTTACAAACAGAAATTGTCTTCTGAGTCCTTCATGGCAGCTCTAAAAGGTGCTGGAGCAATGGGGAGAGTATTATGTTTGCTAATTTGCTTTGAAAAACAAGGCAGGGCATGTTCTTTAGTGGTTCCTGAATAGTGCTAGAAATGTGAAGAAGAGAGAGACTACTTAGGCAAGAATGATTTCTTAGAACATGATGCTGAAGAATGTCTGAGACACCACTTCACACAAGCTGCCCCCAGGAGTCCAAACCACAAAGCAAAAAACAATGGACAAGACAGAAGAAAGGGATTATTTAATGAGACTCTAAAGTGGATATTGTTTAACTCCCTCCCATTTTTTTCCCTCTCTTATAATTTCATATTAATTTTTAATTTTTTTAGAAGTGTCTGGTCTATGTGTTCACCTCTAAGATAGGTATGTTCCTAGTAATTCCCCAAAGGGACGGGCTGTAGATGGTCGATTTGTGACATTTGCTGCTTCTCCCTGTTCTGTTCAGCTACTGCAGTAACAGTTTAAAATATATAAATGCTTTTCAAATGAGACAGAATGTGAGTAGCACAGCTCCAGTGGGAGAACAGTCCATGATATTATTAAAAAAGGGATTGTGTCTCTTAAGAGTTTCTCCATAATACGGACAAATTGTTCTGTGGATGATGATGCAGATAAAGTGAGTTTTCAAATTAATTCCTTTTCTCCTGGTCAGATTCCTTGGGGCCTAGCAAGATGTAGACTGGTGTTTCCCTGTTTTTGTGTTATTTGTAGGTTGTTTTCCTGTGAGTTCTCTTCATAATTAACAGTAGGCATGCTTCAGCCTCTTCCCAGTGGGGAGACACCAGTATATTTGCATATCTGTGCATATATTTTTATATATATATATAAAATCAGTTTTTCAGTAACTTTTAAGGAAAATAACATTTTGAGACTGATGTTTTTTAAACAGAGGGACAGCCATACAGATACAGTAGCATGTTTCCCTGTATGATAAAGTTTGGAATTAGCCTGCGATGTTCTAAGGAAATGACTCAGTTGTGCTTGGCTCCCAAGAAATTTCTTGCTTTCCTTGTGCATCTTTGTGGATGTATTTCTGTAGATTATATGGTTTCAGTTCACCTTTGGATAGAAATTAAGCTGTGCCCCATCAGTGATGCTGACTCAGAAATGGTGTTTTACATTGCATCTGTCTGTTGAGACAGATACTCCTCTCTAGGTGCTGTTCTTCCCTTGTATCTCTTCCATTGACAGGAGCTATATGCCAGTCTCAGCTGATGATCAGCCTGATTTCTCTCTGTTTCTTCTCTGTTTGTGAGAGTAGACAGAGTTGCAGGACAGTTTGGGAATGTTTTAAAAATAGAACTAAAGTTGTGATGGTACTTGGGAGTGTTATGCACAGGTGTATCATTCCTACTAATAAACAGAACTCTGCAAATTTTTTTACTTTTTTTTTTTTTTCTGGCAGGAAGCTGTTTTGAATGTATGGTCAATTGTCTTTTCTCTCTCAGTTTTGCCTCTGGTGCTAGATAAAATCTGCAGGAGAAAGCTGCATTCATCGTAGCACAGTAATGAACTTTAGCATCTATTCAGAGGGAACACCCTTGTGCTAGGTGATGACCACTTGTAGGAACTCAAGGGACATAAAACTAGGCAATGAGTCATGGGATAACCATATAGTGAGGCTGACCAGAGAGTCACCTGGCAAGTTGACCAAGTGTCCTGACAGATAAAGTCTATTATTGCTATCTGAGGTAACTGAGTGTTCCTCTTCAAGGAAGGGAAGGGAGCTGGCATGGGTTTGTAGAAAAGGTGTTCTTTGTAATTGCAGGAAAAGATGAGGAAGAATTGAACAGACAAAGAAGGAGGGTGGGAAATTCCATTATTGGAAGTGCACAGATTAAGAGATCTTGAATCTGTCAGTGTATTCTTACCCAAGCCCCAGAAGTGCTTGAGGGGAGGAGCAAAATCAAGTAGGGAAAATGTGTGAAGGGATTTTTAAATTTTTAAAATTTAATTAGATATGCAGATACGAGTATTTACTTTGTTTAAAGTAGTTTGATTCTTGGAACCCCTAGGAATCCTTGAGTGCTTCTGGCCTCGTTGTCTCTCAAAGTGGGGTATTCTTGTACATCTCCTGTAATGTTGGAACTTGGAGGAATGTGTGCTGTTATGGTGGTGTAGCTAATTAAAAGCAAGTGGAGCTCATCAGTCCTGTAAAACAAGCAGATAAAAGCTAACATGTCTTATTTGTGTAGAGGGCTTATAAACACAACCACTGTTTAGAGGAACTAAGCAAATATTAACCCTGGAACGTAGTTGCCTGTGCTGTGTTTAAAGACACATACATGCTTTGTCCACTGGTAACAAGTGTGCAGGGGAGTGGGTGTGTAAATTTAAGGATTTCACTCTGTTCCCTTTCAGGTAGGATGTCTCTGAATCAAAGATCTCTTTAAGGCTTCCCACTTTGTGTTCCATACCTGGTCCATGCTCATTATGCCTCTGACAGCACAGCAGGGGTTACAGCCCTTATGAGAAGTACTGGGTAAACTTCTCTTCTTTCTGTTACAGGTGTTGCTCTTAGAAATGCTCTTAGTTACAGCTTTACATTTAGATGATACAATTGAAATTCCTTGGGCTTCATTGTATATTGTAGGGAAAATGTTTAAAAGGTTGTAGGAAATGTTGTTTGGGGTTTGGAAGTTTTTGTTTTTGAGTTGTGTTGTTGTTTTTTTTTTTTTTTTCCCTAGACAGTGAAAAGCATAAGAGTGATCACTGTACATTCTGTGTTTTCAAAACAACAGTAGAAATTTACAGCTTTTATCTCACAGAAATGTGTGTGGGTTTTATTGTATTTGTGGTTTTTTTTTGTGTGTGTTTGTTTTTTTTTTTTCTCTTAAATCATGTGGTAGAAATGGAAAAAAACAAACAAACAAACAAACAAAAACAACTTAGAGAACCCCAGTGTAGTTGTGTGCTTTAGTGGTCTGTGGGTGCAGCTGCAAAACAATATTATGAATATTAACCCAAACAGTGGCTCAGACGCACGTACACAAATTCTTGTAGGAGAAGTTCACAAAGAACTACTTAAACAG